CGCGCGCGCGCGTGTGTGTGTGTGTGTGTGTGTGTGTGTGTGTGTGTGTGTGTGTGAGAAGGAGAGAGAAATGTTAACTATTGCTTCGTTCATGTATATTCAGCAAAGACTCAAGGATAAAGATAATGAAAGAAAAAATAAAGTTATGAAGAAACGAAACTGGACCATAATTCAAGCAATAAAAAAATTGTCTCGAAATCCTGTCGAGCTTTCACGAATTGAAACTCGAGCATTTATAAATTTTTTATATCGATTCGTTAATTCCGTCGCATTGATTAATTTATGTAGAAACGATGTGTCTATTTTACACGTGTTGTGTTTATGCATTATTGTTTTTATTAACATTTACGCTACGTATTATATGATGATTCAGGAAGATTAAGAAATGTCGATAATCGTACAAGAGCTTAATAAATAATTCAGAATCAGATAAGTAACTCATTTGAGTGTACTCACTATGGGTGCTGTCTTTACTCTCTGAGATCTATCCTCGAATACCGTGAAAGGTACTTTCCGAATAATAGGAGAATGCGAGTTGTTTATCACAGCCTCCAATATAGTGACTTGCATCTGTAGGAATGACTATTACCATATTGATGGTCGATATTATTGATTTCGAGTATCCAAGAGCTTCGTCTAATAGTTCCGAAGTGGCATCTTGGTGGACCTAGAGCTTCATGATGGATGATCGCAACCGTTTGACAGCCGATCCGGGCACAGATGTCTCGTACCTCAAAGCGTACGCGAGATGAGAAATTGAATTGCGATATTCCATCTTTCACCTCAAGATTCAATAATCTTGAAGTGAAAGAAATAAAGAGAGAAAATAACGACAGTGACGATGTCGTTATTCCCAATTATATCCAAAGTTGTCAGATGTTTCTGTAAAAATTTGCTGAAAAAATTTTCCACAAGAATCTCACATCACCAGTCTTTTCTTTCTGAATCTCAAGAGAACTTTCTCTCGCCTCCTTGATTCTCTCTTGATTCTTTTCACATTGTAGATGCAAAGGGGATAATTACGTGTCAGAAAAAAGGAAGTACCTTGGTTCTCGGTTTATCTTTCAAAAGTTAAGCGTGTCGGCGGATGAAGACGCTATTAGTCGATTAACATGTCTGCCAGGAAATCAATGTGAAACCGCAAAATTCACGACTGACGATAAGTTAAGAGAACGTGACATCGAAAAGTTGATGAGATATATAATCCTCCTCCTAAGTTACTCCCAAGAGTAACTCCCTAATTATGCAGAATGTATCTCGGTAGAACTAGACGCACTTATTTCTAGTTTAAGGATAAGGATGTTTGTTGTTCAATAAGTTTCCAGTGAGTTAATCCAACGGGAATCTGTATCTCACGTTTCTCACGTGAATCCGTTATCTTCTTTAAATCTAATACATTTAAATCATAAAATATGTGAAAAGATATATTTAATTTAAACTTGAGGTAAAGAATGAGATGATGGATAAGGTTAATTTATATTTATATTTACATTTATATTTATATAGTTATCGAAAAGATTTATGCTGTCCCATACGTCCATAGATAGACCTGTATCTTTATACAGACATCTGTCAAAATAAGAAAAATTTATATTAATTTATTAAGAAAAACAGATTCAAAAGATAGAGAATTATTATATATCTATACAATTGAGTCTGTATAATCGGGCAACTCGGGGTCTGTATAATGTGGCAAAATTTTATCAATGTCCATTTATTCACATCTGAGGAACAGTTCCAATGGTAGTAAACTTTGGATAAAGTTACCAACAAAAAGATCCGTTAGGTCTTTTTGTTGGACTTACCGACACGACGGTTACACGAAAATTATCGGTTAACATTCGCGACGCAGGTTTCTTTGCACGACAAGTTTAACGAGTATGTGTACGACGGATATCGCACAATAATTTACGAAGAACGATATTTCTTCGTAAAGATTTTTTATCATTTCGGTTACTAATAAATATACAAATTAGGTGTAAGATATATAAATATTACTTACCCTATGTGTCTATGTATTCGCAGAGATGTATTTATTCATATCCTTTGCTTATACTTAATATTTTTGGAGCCAAGTTATTGTAGAAACATCTTGAGATATTGTAGAATTTTAGAAAAATTCCCTTTTTTTTATTTTCTAGATACATTTGCTTTCTGGAATCGAGACATCTCAGGTGAGAAAAAATAACGCTACGAAGTGTTAACGCAGTTGTTCGGAGGCAAAATGGCTTTAAAAATGGCTCTCTCGATGAACGGCACAAAGTCACAAGTCGATCGCAATTATGTGTTGAATGTTCTGAATTATATTGACGAAGTGAACGAGTCGTTTAGCACCGAGCAGATCAAATGTCTCGAACTCAAAGATCGGGAACATGAAAATCAAAAGCAGGAACAAGAAGAATGCGAAGTAGACTGGGACACCATATTATGCTGGCCTCGGACGCTTTCCGACACTTTGGCTACTATTCCCTGTTTTGATGAGCTCAACGGTATACCTTACGACAACACTCGTGAGTATACGTGCATATCATCGTTACAAAATTCGTAATCGGCATTCTAACAATTGGAGATACTTTTTACTAATAGCAAATTATCTATCCCGAATTTCGTCCTGAAATGGATATATGGACTATAATCTGGTTAATGAGAATTTGTACATTTAATAAAAAAGAAAGAAAATCCATTAAATTGTGAAGAAATATTTCTCACGGATAAGTGACATATACAAGAAAGATTTGAATTGGTAACATAGCGTGTGCTGGAATAATAATGCCGTTTCCGATATTTGTGTAATACGGTAGTGTTAATTGAAACATTTCCTTATGTACAACGTACAGAGCTTCGATATGCGATCGATGGTTTATGGAACATATTTTCACCGTTTCTCACGTGTCGTGTTAAAAACTGTAATCACTTTTTTAATAACTAGAACCCGTTATAAATACAATCGAAACTTTAACAATTCTGTATTAACTTTCTTTACAAATACAAATTTATATATAATGCAATAGAATTTATTACAAGATTTTATACATATCTCTTGCAGACTCGCAGACTTTTTGATTAAAATTTCAAGTCAAGTTTATCGCCGATGATTAAATCTCGGCTTGACGAATTAAAGTCTCGTTTCGACATAGTCCATTTCTCTCAATTTGATCGCCAAGTTTATCGGTAAGTCAGTTGATACTACCGAGAAAGGGGAAGAATCTGCAAGAGCTTCAACCTAGATTCGATCGAAACAAGTTCCTATTGGTGAAGTTTAATCGAACTAAAGTTCTTGAAGCCCAAAAAGCTCTTGTATTCGATAAATATATAACGTGACTTGAAAGGTGAAAATGTAATAAAACTCTCTTTTTTTTACATAAGTATAAAATTTAGACGATTTAAAAAATAACTCTATTCGTTTATTTAGAGATATACATCGCATTTTTTCTTTTGTTCCCTTTAATTTGAAAAGTTTTTTTATTAAACAGCAAATAGCTTATTGTCATAGGTAATAAAAGTAATAAAACATTAAATTTTCTCTCGATGAGTTTTCATATTCTTTACTCTTGTTCCTTGATTTTAAAGTAGATTGTTTTGGGGAATTTCTATCTTTTTAATATTCGTTTAGCCTGTAACCAAGATATCTGGAAACGGAATGGAAACTCGTAATAAAGAAGAGGGTGATGGAGGTAGAGGTGCGATAATACTCGTAAAATACGAGCGTCGTAAAATAAGAGCGTCTCTTTTCTCGTTCTTTAGGAATTGAATGCAGCATCAGAAAACGAAAAATTAAAGAGAATAACGACGGTCAAGATTTGACGAGATTTGACGATTCAAAGTTTTAATCTGATTCTAATTCCAATTAATCAAATAAGAACAATTTAAATTCTGAAGTACTCTCTTTCGAGAGACTCGTAAACTGAACTTTTGTTGATCTCGCAAGTGCATTTTTAATATTAAAAGCTTTTTGATATCTAAATATTAAGTCTCAGAGAAAGAAAGATAGCTAATCTCAAAGCTAAGAAATTATTCTTCTATGTCGTAATTTTCTTCATTGTCTGAGTAATTGTAAGGAGAATTTTAAAATCACAATAATACTTTTAAATTATAATTATATAAAATTGGATTTGATAGTGTAATATGTATCGCTTTGATTTAAACCACAATAGTTTACTCCCGAAAGTTTACACAAGTGACAGAAACGATCAAAATGATTAAATCGTGTGATTTATCTCTCCTTCATTTAATAAAGATAATAAAAGTTTGATAAAATACTATGTGAATAAATCGCGGAGATCATATAATAGAGTAGCATAAAACTCTGGAAATATGGATTTTAATTAAAGCGTTAGCCAAGTGCGTTGTTTGTTTTCTCCTTGGGTGTGAACCTCGAAAGCTATATCCGTTTGAATCGATCTCGCGTAAGTACACAGCTGGCATTATCTTTTTGAAGAAAAAAGATTTTTGAAGAAAAGATCATTCGATCGCTTATCAACGCTTTCAATTCATTCAACGACGATACGTAGGATATTAGAACAAGCGAAACGAAAAGTGAATAAGAGAAATTGTGACTTTTATTAAAACTCCACATGTCATATATAAAATATGTCAGATAACAAATTACGAATAACAAATTACACGGTACGGTACAAATTATAATACTTTTTGTTGAAATTCAAAAGAATTTTTTATTAATATTTAGAATATGTAAATTATTTTTGGATAATAAAGAGGATATTTAATTGATATGAAAAATATTTGATCAAATTATTGTAGAAACCGCTACATTGTAAATCTGTTAAAAATAGTGGCACGAAATTGGTGATATAATTTGAATTTATTTCATATAGATATTTAATACCTAAAATCTTGCTGTAATTAGCTTTCTTTCAGTTGTCAAATCATTACTATTTTTTTATAAAAAGGTCTTCTGTTCTTTCTTTCTGTTATTTTTTATAAGACTAATATTATAGAATATTATCCATTATTATATATATAATAAAATTATATTTTATTTATTTAAAAAGCTTTCTTTTGAAACTTGCAATGTTATTTATTTCAAGGAAAGTAGATTTTAAATTAAAAATAATATACTACTATCTAATAATAATTGAATAGCGTTAAACATAGCGTTTATAATTAAATAATAACTATAACTAAATAGCTTAAACTCCAGACAAAACAAATAATAACTTTTTAACATATAAAGACGAAGCTTATATCACGACAATTAAAAAATCTGATACCGAATAATATACGTCACGCCTCGTAAGGGAGAAAGGCTTTCAATAAAAACGATCGATATGCGGATAAAGAGTAAAGAGAGGAAATCTATAAAACAATGATTACACGCGGTCGCATGTTGTTACTTTATAAGAATATCGAATTGTCAATGTTGAATTGGACATCGATGCTTAATAACCGCATTCTAAAATTCAACATACATATATTATATCGGTGACGAATTTATCATACTTATTGGTCCAAGCGGTTACTATTTACCTTACGACATCAATCATCGAAGAAAATCAATTTATACTTTCATATTTGATTCAAATACATTCCTTTTATAAAATGTGTTGAGATATAATCTTATCTTTATAATTCTTATTTTGATGTTTTTGTCATCATTTCTATTTGGCAGATATCCTTTTTCAGCGTGTATAGACTCAACCAAATTGGAATACAAGAGATATTCAGCAGCCACTTTTATTTATCGTTACTGTATTGTATAGACCTTCTATAGACATTTTTTTAAACATACTGATTTTAACAAAATTTCCGTAAAAAAATTTGTGTAAGAGATCTCAAAGAGTTATTTCAAAATAATTGCAAACCCGAACCGAAATAAATAAAGCAGCTTTTACTTCTATTTCACGATAATGAGAAGTATTCCTGCCAATTAAACGCACTGATAACGTTCCATAAAATTTCCAAGATGGAAATATCATAATTATTTTTAACACAGAATTTCTCTCTCTTTCTCTTTCTCAATATATCGATATATATTATACCTGTATAAGAAATAAATAAAATACGTATACGTAGGTATATCATCCTTCAAAGGTATTAATAATAAAATAAATAGAATGGAACAAAGGAGAGAAAGAAAAATTCGTCGAAAAAAAGACAAAAGAAGAGAGACAAGAGCCAAAAAAAAGAAGAAAAGGAGAAAGAAAGTAGAATAGGAAGGAAGAAAAAAAGAAAGAAAGAAGGGAGGAAAGAACAAGTTGAAAATAGTTTGAAAATGAAAGAGAGATAATGTAGATAAATGATATAAAACGATAATTTTGAAAAATGCAAAAGTATGAAAAATAAAATAAAAAGTTTATTCCTTCGCATTCAATTAAAATATGTACAAAAAAGAGTTATTAAATTATTATCATATATCGAATGAAAATTTATCGCTGTAAATGAATTTATGTTTAGGGCAAAATATTATATTACGTATCTGCATGGTGCGATACGGCACGGTCAAAGAGTGTTTATTAAAGGGCCTTTTATTGGTTAGCTTTGGCTGGCTTTTAACGTGAATTAATAATTTGCCGCTCTCTTTCTGAACTGGCTTTGAAACACAAGTCGTGCTAATTCTTTTCATTATATTCAAATAATGGCCGAGAGCCAAGATATGTGCGATATAATTGAGAAACGTCATAATTTAAAAATACCGTAGATATATAATATTTGTTGCGAAACAATATTCACGTCTCTCCCACCACTCCCCCCCCCTCTCTCCCTCTCATCTTACTTTACTGCGTGCGTGTCAGCTTATAATGTATTATAATAAGCGACTTAATAAATTCATATGAGCCGATACTCAAGTATATCTGAGAAAATTGAGAAATGATTCAATTTGAGTGTGATGGTAACAAATGGTTAATAATCGCGTCAAAGCGGAACAGGACTTCAAAGTATCAAACAAAGGAACAGAGAGCATACTCGACTTTACGGAAGCAGCAACTCGACATTCATACAAAAGCTGAATTAAGGGTACATTTCTGCTATGCAAAGTTCCACGCGAAAGCAAAAATTAAACGAGTATACTTGTCGAGAAAGCTCGCGGCTTTATTTAACATTAAATAACAGATAATTATATAATAATATTAGAGATCTTTCCAATATCATAAATTTAATAAAGTTAATATTTATTAGTTACATTTAATTTATCATTAATTTAAGTTTTATTTAAAATTTGTTGTCACTTTTTAAAATACTCGGTAAAAGTATATAGATAATATGTATATATAGAGTTACGCGTGCAAGATATCTCTGATTATTTTATTATGAAAGCGAATCCTTTTAACACGCTTGTTTATACATAGATCATAATTTATAATTTATATTCATGCAATTTATAATTATATGACAATGTATACATAAATCATACGTTATCTTGTAATTTCAAACGTTTCGGAATTTACAATTATATGGATATAATTATACGGATACTCTTTTTAAATCTTTTATTTGAATAATGTTCATAATTTAATTAATTTATGTATCTCGTTGTATCCGAACAAATCGA